TGAAATTACAATCTATTTATATTTTTAAGTTTAAAAATTATTCACTTCCTCCAAATTATTTTCGGAAATATTTTGGAGGAAAATTTTGAAATTACAATCTATTTATATATTTTTAAGTTTAAAAATTATTCACTTCCTCCAAATTATTTTCGGAAATATTTTGGAGGAAAATTTTGAAATTACAATCTATTTATATATTTTTAAGTTTAAAAATTATTCACTTCCTCCAAATTATTTTCGAAAATATTTTGGAGGAAAATTTTGAAATTACAATCTATTTATATATTTTTAAGTTTAAAAATTATTCACTTCCTCCAAATTATTTTCGGAAATATTTTGGAGGAAAATTTTGAAATTACAATCTATTTATATATTTTTAAGTTTAAAAATTATTCACTTCCTCCAAATTATTTTCGGAAATATTTTGGAGGAAAATTTTGAAATTACAATCTATTTATATATTTTTAAGTTTAAAAATTATTCACTTCCTCCAAATTATTTTCGAAAATATTTTGGAGGAAAAAATTGAAATTAAAATCTATTTATATATTTTTAAGTTTAAAAATTATTCACTTCCTCCAAATTATTTTCGGAAATATTTTGGAGGAAAATTTTGAAATTACAATCTATTTATATATTTTTAAGTTTAAAAATTATTCACTTCCTCCAAATTATTTTCGGAAATATTTTGGAGGAAAATTTTGAAATTACAATCTATTTATATATTTTTAAGTTTAAAAATTATTCACTTCCTCCAAATTATTTTCGGAAATATTTTGGAGGAAAAAATTGAAATTAAAATTTATTTATATATTTTTCAGTTTAAAAATTATTCACTTCCTCCAAAATATTTTCGAAAATATTTTGGAGGAAAAAATTGAAATTAAAATTTATTTATATATTTATCAGTTTAAAAATTATTCACTTCCTCCAAAATATTTTCGAAAATATTTTGGAGGAAAAAATTGAAATTACAATCTATTTATATATTTTTAAGTTTAAAAATTATTCACTTCCTCCAAATTATTTTCGGAAATATTTTGGAGGAATATTTTGAAATTACAATCTATATATTTTAAAGTTTAAAAATTATTCACTTCCTCCAAATTATTTTCGGAAATATTTTGGAGGAAAATTTTGAAATTACAATCTATTTATATATTTTTAAGTTTAAAAATTATTCACTTCCTCCAAATGATTTTCGGAAATATTCTGGAGGAAAATTTTGAAATTACAATCTATTTATATATTTTTAAGTATTAAAATTATTCACTTCCTCCAAATTTTTTTCGGAAATATTTTGGAGGAAAATTTTGAAATTACAATCTATTTATATATTTTTAAGTTTAAAAATTATTAACTTCCTCCAAATTATTTTCGGAAATATTTTGGAGGAAAATTTTGAAGTTACAATCTCTTCATATTTTTTTAATTTTAAAAATTATTCACTTTCTCCAAAATATTTTTGAAAATATTTTGGAGGAAAAAATTGAAATTAAAATCTATTTATATATTTTTAAGTTTAAAAATTATTCACTTCCTCCAAATTATTTTCGGAAATATTTTGGAGGAAAATTTTGAAATTACAATCTATTTATATATTTTTAAGTATAAAAATTATTCACTTCCTACAAATTATTTTCGGAAATATTTTGGAGGAAAATTTTGAAATTACAATCTATTTATATATTTTTAAGTTTAAAAATTATTCACTTCCTCCAAAATATTTTCGGAAATATTTTGGAGGAAAATTTTGAAGTTACAATCTATTTATATATTTTTAAGTTTAAAAATTATTTACTTCCTCCAAATTATTTTCGAAAATATTTTGGAGGAAAATTTTAAATTACAATCTCTTAATTTATTTTTAAGTTTAAAAATTATTCACTTCCTCCAAATTATTTTCGGAAATATTTTGGAGGAAAATTTTGAAATTACAATCTCTTTATATATTTTTTCAGTTTAAAAATTATTCACTTCCTCCAAATTATTTTTGGAAATATTTTGGAGGAAAATTTTGAAATTACAATTTATTTATATATTTTTCAGTTTAAAAATTAATCACTTCCTCCAAATTAATTTCGAAAATATTTTAGAGGAAAAAATTGAAATTAAAATTTATTTATATATTTTTCAGTTTAAAAATTATTCACTTCCTCCAAATAATTTTCGGAAATATTTTGGAGGAAAATTTTGAAATTACAATCTATTTATATATTTTTAAGTTTAAAAATTATTCACTTCCTCCAAATTATTTTCGGAAATATTTTGGAGGAAAATTTTGAAATTACAATCTATTTATATATTTTTAAGTTTAAAAATTATTAACTTCCTCCAAATTATTTTCGGAAATATTTTGGAGGAAAATTTTGAAATTACAATCTATTTATATATTTTTAAGTTTAAAAATTATTCACTTCCTCCAAAATATTTTCGAAAATAGTTTGGAGGAAAAGATTGAAATTGAAATTTATTTATATATTCTTTAGTTTAAAACTTATTTATTGCCACCAAAATATTTTCGGAAATATTTTGGAGGAAAATTTTGAAATTACAATCTATTTATATATTTTTAAGTTTAAAAATTATTCACTTCCTCCAAATTATTTTCGGAAATATTTTGGAGGAAAATTTTGAAATTACAATCTATTTATATATTTTTAAGCTTAAAAATTATTCACTTCCTCCAAATTATTTTCGGAAATATTTTGGACGAATATTTTGAAATTACAATCTATTTATATATTTTTAAGTTTAAAAATTATTCACTTCCTCCAAATTATTTTCGGAAATAATTTAGAGAAAAATTTTGAAATTACAATATCCTTATATATTTTTAAGTTTAAAAATTATTAACTTCCTCCAAATTATTTTCGGAAATATTTTGGAGGAAAATTTTGAAGTTACAATCTCTTTATATTTTTTTAATTTTAAAAATTATTCACTTTCTCCAAAATATTTTTGAAAATATTTTGGAGGAAAAAATTGAAATTAAAATTTATTTATATATTTTTCAGTTTAAAAATTATTCACTTCCTCCAAATTATTTTCGAAAATATTTTGGAGGAAAAAATTGAAATTACAATCTATTTATATATTTTTAAGTTTAAAAATTATTCACTTCCTCCAAATTATTTTCGGAAATATTTTGGAGGAAAATTTTGAAATTACAATCTATTTATATATTTTTAAGTTTAAAAATTATTCACTTCCTCCAAATTATTTTCGGAAATATTTTGGAGGAAAATTTTAAAATTACAATCTATATATTTTTAAGTTTAAAAATTATTCACTTCCTCCAAATTATTTTCGGAAATATTTTGGAGGAAAATTTTGAAATTACAATCTATTTATATATTTTTAAGTTTAAAAATTATTCACTTCCTCCAAATTATTTTCGGAAATATTTTGGAGGAAAATTTTTAAATTACAATCTCTTTATATATTTTTAAGTTTAAAAATTATTCACTTCCTCCAAATTGTTTTCGAAAATATTTTGGAGGAAAATTTTGAAATTTCAATCTCTTTATATATTTTTAAGTTTAAAAATTATTCACTTCCTCCAAAATATTTTCGAAAATATTATGAAGGAAAAAATTGAAATTAAAATTTATTTATATATTTTTCAGTTTAAAAATTATTCACTTTCTCCAAATTATTTTCGAAAATATTTTGGAGGAAAAAATTGAAATTACAATCTATTTATATATTTTTAAGTTTAAAAATTATTCACTTCCTCCAAATTATTTTCGGAAATATTTTGGAGGAAAATTTTGAAATTACAATCTATTTATATATTTTTAAGTTTAAAAATTATTCACTTCCTCCAAATTATTTTCGGAAATATTTTGGAGGAAAATTTTGAAATTACAATCTATTTATATATTTTTAAGTTTAAAAATTATTCACTTCCTCCAAATTAGTTTCGGAAATATTTTGGAGGAAAATTTTGAAATTACAATCTATTTATATATTTTTAAGTTTAAAAATTATTCACTTCCTCCAAATTATTTTCGGAAATATTTTGGAGAAAAAGTTTTAAATTACAATCTATTTATATATTTTTAAGTTTAAAAATTATTCACTTCCTCCAAATTATTTTCGAAAATATTTTGGAGGAAAAAATTGAAATTAAAATTTATTTATATATTTATCAGTTTAAAAATTATTTACTTCCTCCAAAATATTTTTGAAAATATTTTGGAGGAAAAAATTGAAATTGAAATTTATTTATATATTCTTTAGTTTAAAACTTATTTATTGCCTCCAAATTATTTTCGGAAATATTTTGGAGAAAAATTTTTAAATTACAATCTCTTTATATATTTTTAAGTTTAAAAATTATTCACTTCCTCCAAATTATTTTCGGAAATATTTTGGAGGAAAATTTTGAAATTACAATCTATTTATATTTTTTTAAGTTTAAAAATTATTCACTTCCTCCAAAATATTTTCGAAAATATTTTGGTGGAAAAAATTGAAATTGATATTTATTTATATATTCTTTAGTTTAAAACTTATTTATTGCCTACAAATTATTTTCGGAAATATTTTGGAGAAAAATTTTTAAATTACAATCTCTTTATATATTTTTAAGTTTAAAAATTATTCAATTCCTCCAAATTATTTTCGGAATTATTTTGGAGGTGAAAACGCGTGCAAATTAAATTTCCTTATATTTTTTATGTTGTTTATTTAACTGCCGCGTGGATGTTTAATTGTTCTTTGATCTAAATGATTATGAATTAAAAAACTTGTCTAAAATTAAAATAATGGTAAAATGTTCAGGTTAAAATTAATTCACAATTTGAAATTAAAAAACGTTTATTTTAAGTTGACAGACTGAGTGTTGGATCACGACTGACCTTCGTCAATGAATATACAAATTTCGACAATTTCACGATACACACACTAACAAAATTTCTACCACAATTAAATTCAAAATTATATACTTGTCGTCGACATACCGCCGGCCTTGAACGGCTTGCGTTCAATTTTTATTACATTTCAATCGGCAACGGAGACAATGTCTTTAATCCACGCTTATATACTCCATCCTTCGTACGCACATCCACCACACGAACAATATCATCCTTTCCCGGATAAGTCTTCTCAATCCTTCCCAACAACCATCTTAGTGGTGTTTGATTATCATCTTTCAACAAAACAAATCCACCAATTTCTACTTTTGACTCTCCCGTATGCCATTTATTTTTCACTGTAATTTCATTCAAGTATTCTGTGTGCCAACGTTTCCAAAAATCAATTTTCATTTTTTGAATGTGCTGCCACACAGAAAGTCGATTTACTTTAATATCTGAATAATCCACAGATGGAACAGTTTGGAAGGATTGCCCTATTAAAAAATGCGCTGGAGTCAAAACCATTAAATCGTGCGGATCAGATGACATCGGCGTAAGAGGGCGAGAGTTCAAAATCGCCTCTATTTCACACACAAGCGTCTCGAACTCATCGTAACACAACAATGTTTCCCCGATTGTTCTTTTTAAATGGTGTTTGAAGGACCTTACAGCAGCTTCCCAGATGCCTCCAAAATGTGGCGTACGTGGCGGAATAAAGTGCCATTCAATTTTTTGTTCAGCTAAATTTTTTGTTATTTTTTCTCGATCTTTTTCCGAATTTAGCATGCTGTAAAGTTCCTCAAGCTCATTTTTTGCGCCCTTAAAATTCGTCCCGTTGTCAGAATACAATGCCTTGCATTTTCCCCTTCTCGCAAAAAACCTACGCAAACACGCCAAAAATGCATCAGTGGTTAAATCACAAACAACTTCCAAGTGAATCGCCTTGGTGACCATACAAACAAATACTGCGACATAAATTTTTATTCTATTTTTATTTCTATATTTTTTCTCCTTGACGAAAAAATAACCACAAAAATCTACACCTACGTTCTCAAAAGGTCTCGCTGATTTAAGTCTAACTTCTGGTAAATTTCCCATTTTATAACCAAATTCTTTTGGATTGGATCTCGCACATTTTACACATTTATAAATACAACTTTTTACGGCGCTCCTTCCATCTACAATCCAATAATTTTGTCGAAGCGAATATAATGTACAATTTACTCCCGCGTGCAAAGCTCTCTCATGGTACTCACGAATCAAGAGAAGTGTTATGGGATGATTTTTAGGAAGGATTATCTGATGTTTCTGATCATGATTTAAATTAGAATATTTAATTCTTCCCCCCACTCTCAGTAAGCCTTTCTCCATCATCGGACTCAAGCGAATCAATTTCGATCCCCTTGAAACCTCCCCACCACTTGACAGATCCCTGATTTCCCCTGCAAATGCCTCGCGTTGGACCAGTAGTAATATTCGCAATTCAGCTGACTTGAATTCCTCAACCGAAAGCAAACCTTTGCGTAATTCACCTTTCTTAAATCTCACGAACCGTAAACAATAAGCAACCACACGTACCAAAACAGTCCAAGATGAAAAACGCTCACTTAATTCAAATTTCTCAATCGTCTTGACTGTCAAGGATTTAATTGCTCGCCTTTCAGGAACTTCCACTGCCTTCCATTTTTGTTCAGGCCACACAGCTTCCGGTTGCTCCAACCATTCTGGACCTCTTTTCCAAAGATTACTTTCGATAAATTCTGAGGGTGATAATCCACGAGAAATTAAATCCGCTGGATTCTCTTTCGTTGGAACATGTTTCCATTCTTCACTACTCGTGAATTCCTGAATTTCAGCGATCCTGTTGGCCACGAATGTTTTGAGTTCATGTGAAGGAGTATTTATCCAATTTAGTACAATAGTGGAGTCAGTCCAAAACACCACTCGTGAAATACTCAATCTCAAGGCCGCCACCGCTGCCTTGTGCAGTCGAACCAGCAACAGCGCTGCGCACAATTCCAATCTCGGGATGGTAACGAAATGTAAGGGCGCTACCCGTGACTTAGAGCACAATAGTAAATTATAATAATTTCCATTTCTGATCACTCTCAAGTACAGACACGCTCCGTATGCCTTCTCGCTCGCATCTGAAAAACCATGAATCTCTATTAATTCATTTTTCTCGCGACGTATTGTTCTTGGAATAGACCATTCATTTAATCGTTTCAGCTGTTCAACGTAATCCTTCCAGAATTCCACCGCTTCAACAGGAACAGGATCGTCCCAGTCCAGTTTATTTTTCCACAATTCCTGTAGGCTGATTTTTGCGCAAATTATTACAGGGGATATTAATCCAAGTGGGTCGTAAAGTTGCGCAACCTTTGAAAGTATTGTTCTCTTAGAAATGAGCTGCTTTTCGGAAGATTGATTTATCTCGAACAAGAGTGTATCCTCTTCAGGATTCCAACACACTCCCAACATCCTCGAGGTTGAAGAATGTTCTTTATCCAGATTCACTCGCATCTTGATGATTGTATTTGGAAGATCCTCGATTAAATTATAGCAATTAGACGTCCATTTTGACAATCGTAACCCAGCAGCATTTGTTATCCCTATTATCTGATCTCTTATTTCCACAGCCTCTTCCATGGTCTCTGCTCCCGTGAGCATATCATCCACGAAGAAATCCTCTCGTAACACAAGTGCAGCTATAGGAAATCTTTCTTCTTCGTCGTCTGCTAGCTGCTTTAAACACCTGACTGCCAAAAAGGGAGCAGCTGATGTACCATACGTTATGGTGTTTAATTCGTAAGTACTCACAGGCTCACTGGAATTGAATCTCCACAAAATTTTTTGAAATTTTCTGTCTGCAGGCTCCACCCAAAATTGACGGAACATCTTTTCAATATCGGCACCCAGAACTATTGGATGTTGCCTAATTCGAAGCATGAGTTCAAAAATTCCATCCTGTATTATTGGACCGGCTCTCATTACATCATTCAATGAAATCCCTGTAGATGTTTCCGAAGAAGCGTCAAATACCACTCTCAGAATTGTTGACAAACTCGATTCCCGAATAACTGCCTGGTGAGGTATAAAATACCCTTCTTCCTTTTTTGTCTCTACTGGCTGCATATGTCCCAAGTCTAAGTAAGTCTTCATAAATTCGTGATATTGAATCTTTAGATCTGGATTACGTTCCAATCTTTTCTCCAGCGTAAAAAATCTTCTTGCTGCAATTTCAAAAGAAGAACCCAATTCTTGTAATTTGTCCGTAAATGGTAAACTAACCATATATTTACCATCATTCATCCTTCGAAAATTTGAAACAAAATGTTCCTCGCATGTAATTTCCTCCTCAGACTTGTGACATCTTTCCTCTATGTTCTCCAGCTTCCAAAATTTTTCCACTTGTTCTGAAAGTGAATCTCGAACCATATGACATCTCAGACTTGAACTTCCAGGAACTCCCACCTTTCCTACAACTATCCAACCAAGTTTAGTACTTTGTAAATAAAGTCGTGGTGCTGCTAAGGGAATTTTTCCATCTTGTAATAATTCATAAAAAATTTCTCCACCAACTAACGCATCAATTTTACCTGGTTTGTGGAAACTGGGATCCGATAATTGAATTTGAGAAGGAATGCTAAGATTATCTTTATTTATTGGGAAGTTGGGAAGGTGACTGGTAATGTGAGGAAGTACCATGAAAGAAAGTCTGCCTGCATATCCTGAAACATGTGATTTAAATTTTACATCTACCCATTCTGCGCTTTTTATTGCATTATTATTTACACCTTCAATAGACGAGTCAAATTTTCTTTTCTTTAGTCGTAATCGCGTTACACATTCTTCGGTAATTAAGTTTGGCTGAGAGCCACTGTCGAGTAATATTCTACATGAATGAGAATTTCCTAATGTGTCAAACAATCCTATATTTGCTGTAGACAATAAAACTCTTGACGCGTCTAAGACATGCATATTTTTTACATTTGATGAACTATCGCTATTTTGTATTTTTTCCTTATCTCGTTCAGCATGCAACAGCGTATGATGTTTCCTTCCACAAATGGTACAATTACTACAACGACATTCATTGATTCTATGATTACGCCTAAAACAGTTAAAACATAAACCTTTCTTTTTTACAATTTGAACTCTTTCATCTGTTGACAATTTTGTAAACTGCTGACAATTTTGAATGTAATGATTTTCGCTACACATCGGACAAGAAATTGGACCCTGAGTATTTACAAATGCTTTGCTTAAATTCCTTCTATTCGTATGAGTGTGCGACCCCCCACCAGCCGTCGACTTCAGAGGCTCTATTTGGTTATTACTGTCACTCTTAATAGTTTCGAGTATCTCGCATCTTGTCTTTAGAAATTTACTGAAACATTCAAAGGTAGGCATCGCACTCCCCGTTACCGATTTTTCCCACTCCGTCCGAGTGTCCCTGTCCAGCTTACCAGTGATAAGACAAATTAAGGGCGTATCCCAACTATCAGTGGGCTGGCCTAATACATTCAAAGCCCGCACATGTCTTAACATCGAGTCTACCAAATTTCTCAAATTAAACGAGGAATCTCTATTTGCATTAGGCAATTCAAAAATCGACTGCATATGGTTTTGAATAATTATGCGTTCGTTGTTGTATCGTTCGTTTAGTAAGTCCCAAGCTACATTATAATTATTATCAGAAGTTGACAAATTATCGATTACTTTTGCCGCGTTATCTTTTACATAAGCCCTTAAATATCTTAATTTTTGAATTTTTGGAATTGACGCATCCTCATGAATTATGGCCTTAAATGCATCTTTAAACCCCAACCAATCTTTATAATCCCCTGTAAAAGTTGGCAAATCAAGTTTCGGTAAAGGGAAGTGCGAACCAGAATGTATACTACTACCTCTAGAAGCCGTAAGCTCACGCAAAGTCGCAAGCTCATTTTCCCTTTGAAGTGCAAGTGCAGCTTCAAGCTGTGCGATTCGCTCCCGATTATGTCCCTGATCAACTTCCGATTCTTGAAATCTACTCGTTACAAATGTAGCTGAACGTTCTTTTATTAATTTCGAAGCTACTGCACAAAGACGAAAATAATTATCTTCAAATTCCATACGTTCAGTTTCGCGATTTGGATTCGGCACAAGTATTTCTAATTTACTTTGAGTTCTATCATAAATATCCCACGTCTCTTCTATCTTTGCTAATCTAAGTTTAAGTTCCTCTACATCCACAATATCGTTAAAATTTTCATTCGTGCATTTTTCTATATACGTTTTAAATTTAGTCAATCGAGTTTTGCAATTTGTCCTAGTCTGTCTCAATTCCTCTAACTCAGGCATTTTAATATCGTTATTATCGTCGATTAATTAATTACACGAAATTTACAAATATACAAAAGATTATAACAATTTTATTTATTTCTTACTCAGATGTTGTTGTTTTTCTGACCTTCAACCGCTTCTCTGTAGTGACTTGCTGCTTTCAAGCTGCTGTTTGAAGAACGCCTAAATTTTATTTCTCGAATTTATTCCTTAAATTTCGTTTCTTCTCTCTGGATTTTTCGCGGTTTTTTGTCCTTTAAACTTATAACACCTGATCTGAATAATGTCTTTCTTGTGAGTCGTGATCCTTATATATTTCTTAACACTCTTGCACTTGAATTTTTACTGAAGCTTCAGTTTTCCACTATTGTTTTTTCATTAAAAACTTCACTTAGTTTAGTTAACTTACAATTGTTCACAAACACGAATTATTTTCACTTTTTATTGTTCATTTTTATCTTCCCACCCTCTTATAATCAATTTTGTGGAAAGATCCGGCTCGAAGGACCATGAAAACGCGTGCAAATTAAATTTCCTTATATTTTTTATGTTGTTTATTTAACTGCCGCGTGGATGTTTAATTGTTCTTTGATCTAAATGATTATGAATTAAAAAACTTGTCTAAAATTAAAATAATGGTAAAATGTTCAGGTTAAAATTAATTCACAATTTGAAATTAAAAAACGTTTATTTTAAGTTGACAGACTGAGTGTTGGATCACGACTGACCTTCGTCAATGAATATACAAATTTCGACAATTTCACGATACACACACTAACAAAATTTCTACCACAATTAAATTCAAAATTATATACTTGTCGTCGACAGGAGGAAAATTTTGAAATTACAATCTCTTTATATTTTTTTAAGTTTAAAAATTATTCACTTCCTCCAAAATATTTTCGAAAATATTTTGGTGGAAAAAATTGAAATTGAAATTTATTTATATATTCTTTAGTTTAAAACTTATTTATTGCCTCCAAATTATTTTCGGAAATATTTTGGAGGAAAATTTTGAAATTACAATCTATTTATATATTTTTAAGTTTAAAAATTATTCACTTCCTCCAAATTATTTTCGGAAATATTTTGGAGGAAAATTTTAAAATTACAATCTATTTATATATTTTTAAGTTTAAAAATTATTCACTTCTTCCAAAATATTTTCGAAAATATTTTGGAGGAAAATTTTGAAATTAAAATTTATTTATACAATTTTCAGTTTAAAAATTATTCACTTCCTCCAAACAATTTTCGGAAATATTTTGGAGGAAAATTTTGAAATTACAATCTATTTATATATTTTTAAGTTTAAAAATTATTCACTTCCTCCAAATTATTTTCGGAAATATTTTGGAGGAAAAAATTAAAATTAAAATTTATTTATATATTTTTCAGTTTAAAAATTATTCACTTCCTCCAAATTATTTTGGAAAATATTTTGGAAGAAAAAATTGAAATTACAATCTATTTATATATTTTTAAGTTTAAAAATTATTCACTTCCTCCAAATTAATTTCGGAAATATTTTGGAGGAAAATTTTAAAATTACAATCTATTTATATATTTTTAAGTTTAAAAATTATTCAATTCCTCCAAATTATTTTCGGAAATATTTTGGAGGAAAATTTTGAAATTACAATCTATTTATATATTTTTAAGTTTAAAAGTTATTCACTTCCTCTAAAATAGTTTCGAAAATATTTTGGAGGAAAAAATTGAAATTGAAATTTATTTATATATTCTTTAGTTTAAAACTTATTTATTGCCTCCAAATTATTTTCGGAAATATTTTGGAGGAAAATTTTGAAATTACAATCTATTTATATATTTTTAAGTTAAAAAATTATTCACTTCCTCCAAATTATTTTCGGAAATATTTTGGAGGAATATTTTGAAATTACAATCTATATATTTTAAAGTTTAAAAATTATTCACTTCCTCCAAATTATTTTCGAAAATATTTTGGAGGAAAAAATTGAAATTGAAATTTATTTATATATTCTTTAGTTTAAAACTTATTTATTGCCTCCAAATTATTTTCGGAAATATTTTGGAGAAAAATTTTTAAATTACAATCTCTTTATATATTTTTAAGTTTAAAAAGTATTCACTTCCTCCAAATTATTTTCGGAAATATTTTGGAGGAAAATTTTGAAATTACAATCTCTTTATATATTTTTCAGTTTAAAAATTATTCAATTCCTCCAAATTATTTTCGGAAATATTTTGGAGGAAAATTTTGAAATTACAATCTATTTATATATTTTTAAGTTTTTAAAATTATTCAATTCCTCCAAATTATTTTCGGAAATATTTTGGAGGAATATTTTGAAATTACAATCTATATATTTTAAAGTTTAAAAATTATTCACTTCCTCCAAATTATTTTCGAAAATATTTTGGAGGAAAAAATTGAAATTGAAATTTATTTATATACCCAATAAGCACGTAATATATGCTCAATATCAAGGTAATATTACACGTGAGATTCGTAATATAACGCTGTAATATTACAGTAATCTTACAGTGATCTTAAAATGTCCGCCTCAAGGTAATATTACCGGGAATATTACTGTAATATTAACGGTAATATTACAGTAATATTACAGTAATATTAAAGACTGATTTGAGTTATTCATAAAGCATAAAAAACGTAAATATATTATAAGTCAATTTGGCTTGTTGGTAAAACTCTGGACTCGTGTGCTTTGAGTTCGGGGTTCGATTCCCTGGATGGGTAGATTTTTTTCGTAAAGAAATGTTCCCATAATATTTTTGTAATATTCTCTTGTAATATTACCTTAATATTACTGCAATATTACTGTAATATTCTCTTGTAATATTACCTTAATATTACTGTATAATATTACTGCAATATTACTGTAATATTACCTTAATATTAGCGCGTAATATTACAGTAACATTACCGGTAATATTACCTTGAGGCGGACATTTTAAGATCACTGTAAGATTACTGTAATATTACAACGTTATATTACGAATCTTACATGTAATATTACCTTGATATTGAGGTTATATTACGTGCTTCTTGGGTATTCTTTAGTTTAAAACTTATTTATTGCCTCCAAATTATTTTCGGAAATATTTTGGAGAAAAATTTTTAAATTACAATCTCTTTATATATTTTTAAGTTTAAAAATTATTCACTTCCTCCAAATTATTTTCGGAAATATTTTGGAGGAAAATTTTGAAATTACAATCTCTTTATATTTTTTTAAGTTTAAAAATTATTCACTTCCTCCAAATTATTTTCGGAAATATTTTGGAGAAAAATTTTGAAATTACAATCTCTTTATATTTTTTTAAGTTTAAAAATTATTCACTTCCTCCAAATTATTTTCGGAAATATTTTGGAGGAAAATTTTGAAATTAGAATCTATTTATATATATTTAAGTTTAAAAATTATTCACTTCCACCAAAATATTTTCGAAAATATTTTGGAGGAAAATTTTTAAATTACAATCTCTTTATGTATTTTTAAGTTTAAAAATTATTTACTTCCTCCAAATTATTATCGGAAATATTTTGGAGGAAAATTTTGAAATTACAATCTCTTAATTTATTTTTAAGTTTAAAAATTATTCACTTCCTCAAAATTATTTTCGGAAATATTTTGGAGGAAAATTTTGAAATTACAATCTCTTTATATATTTTTTCAGTTTAAAAATTATTCACTTCCTCCAAATTATTTATGGAAATATTTTGGAGGAAAATTTTGAAATTAAAATTTATTTATATATTTCTCAGTTTAAAAATTATTCACTTCCTCCAAATGATCTTCGGAAATATTTTGGAGGAAAATTTTGAAATTACAATCTATTTATATATTTTTAAGTTTAAAAATTATTCACTTCCTCCAAATTATTTTCGGAAATATTTTGGAGGAAAATTTTGAAATTACAATCTATTTATATATTTTTAAGCTTAAAAATTATTCACTTCCTCCAAATTATTTTCGGAAATATTTTTGACGAATATTTTGAAATTACAATCTATTTATATATTTTTAAGTTTAAAAATTATTCACTTCCTCCAAATTATTTTCGGAAATAATTTAGAGAAAAATTTTTAAATTACAATATCCTTATATATTTTTAAGTTTAAAAATTATTAACTTCCTCCAAATTATTTTCGGAAATATTTTGGAGGAAAATTTTGAAATTACAATCTCTTTATATTTTTTTAAGTTTAAAAATTATTCACTTCCTCCAAAATAATTTCGAAAATTTTTTGCAGAAAAAAATTGAAATTAAAATTTATTTATATATTTCTCAGTTTAAAAATTATTCACTTCCTCCAAATGATTTTCGGAAATATTTTGGAGGAAAATTTTGAAATTACAATCTATTTATATATTTTTAAGTTTAAAAATTATTCACTTCCTCGAAATTATTTTCGGAAATATTTTGGAGGAAAATTTTGAAATTACAATCTATTTATATATTTTTAAGTTTAAAAATTATTCACTTCCTCCAAAATATTTTCGAAAATATTTTGGAGGAAAAAATTGAAATTAAAATTTATTTATATATTTTTCAGTTTAAAAATTATTCACTTCCTCCAAATTATTTTCGAAAATATTTTGGAGGAAAAAATTGAAATTACAATCTATTTATATATTTTTAAGTTTAAAAATTATTCACTTCCTCCAAATTATTTTCGGAAATATTTTGGAGGAAAATTTTGAAATTACAATCTATTTATATATTTTTAAGTTTAAAAATTATTCACTTCCTCCAAATTATTTTCGGAAATATTTTGGAGGAAAATTTTAAAATTACAATCTATATATTTTTAAGTTTAAAAATTATTCACTTCCTCCAAATTATTTTCGGAAATATTTTGGAGGAAAATTATGAAATTACAATTTATTTATATATTTTTAAGCTTAAAAATTATTCACTTCCTCCAAAATATTTTCGAAAATATTTTGGTGGAAAAAATTGAAATTGAAATTTATTTATATATTCTTTAGTTTAAAACTTATTTATTG